GGTGAGCGCAGGAGCCACTTGCGCTCCCCCTCCCCCTCCCCTCGAGCGCCGTGCTACCAACCTACCGCCACCAAACTACAAATTCAAATTAAACGATCGTTTATTTCAAACATGTTATATCAAACTTCTAAACTAAACTCATTACGTCTCGACTTATACTGAAGCTTCGTGCGCAGTTTGAAGTCCATTGAAGTTAGCGTCTGAGAGAAACGTGGGCCAGTACAGACAGACCGACAGACCGACAGACAGACAGACACACGACCAAAGAGTTCTCTGCACCCCACATCACAGCAAAGGATTCGCAAGCTCAGCCAATGAATTGTGCCATCAGCTCGGTTTTATTAAGTCACACAACTTGTGTACAAATGGTTGACAGTGTTATTTTCACAAGTTGCTAAGTCATGGAGGTTGCTCGCTGTGGTTTTCGCGCTTATTTTACTCGTTCTTGTCATGTCATCGTGAGTGAAATGGGTTTTGAGAAGACTGCTATCGGCCCCGTGTTTGTGCGATCTTCTGCAGTAAGTAAAGCGTTTCCTTTGACTTTATGAGTATTTTTAGTCATTTGAAATCGTACGAACATACATTTTTAACAATTCACCACGTTTTTAATGTTGACCTAGAAAGATTCGAAGTGGCTAGGTTTTCTATCACTTTATCTTAATGGATTGGAACTTAAGGAGTGGGAACTTAAACTGATTTTTTTCAATTGTTAGATATCCCATAATGAGTGACCACATATTCGTTGGCGAAATTTTCAAAACTTGGAAGGAATTTGAAAATGCTCAAGAGCTTTACCAAAAAGAAAAGAATGTCACTTTTGTGACCAAGCACTCTCACAGCATCAAGAGGGAGAACAAACAGAGGGCAATGAGAGATCAAGCACCACTCCTTCATGAGTTAGAACACAAAAATATTGTCATATGGTGTAAATTTGCAGCTAAACCTAGACCAGGGAAGGGCGGAGCTCACATCAAAGTAAATCAAGCGTAAGTACTTCTTTCATTATACCTTTGGGGTTCTCCTCTTAACGTTGTTATCTCTGTCGTTCTATCAAATATTTTGCTGTTATTTCCAGGACATGGAAAATTGGCTGTGAAGCTGAGATGCAGCTCATTGCCTATGAGAATGGGCTGGAGGTTAAGAAGCTCCATGATATCCATACCAACCATGATTGCATTGAAGAAGAGACGGACGTCATGCCCGAAAATAGGCAAGTGGACCCAAAGGATCGAGACACCATAAACACGCTATTGAAAGGAAAAGTTAAGCCTGCTCGAATCAAAGCTATTTTAAATGACATGAATAGCACCAGAATTACCCCGAGGGACATAGCAAATTACAGGTAAACGATTATGCTTTTCTGTGAACAACTTTGGTCTGTTTCTATAGTATTTAGTGTTGGTATTTGTGGTATTTTACATGAAGTATCTCTGTCTAATGTTTTGGGATTCGCTGTCACAGAGCTAAATGCCAGAGAAATGAACGTGGTGATCGAAGTGAGTCCCAGGTGTTGCAAGACACACTCTTGGATATTCTTGAGGCTGATTCTGGGGCTACCATTGCAACAGTTAAGGACACTGATGACACCGTAGTAATGTTGTTTGTCCAAACCTCTGAAATGAGGTTGAATGCAGAAAAGTATGGTATTGTTATTCACTTGGACCACACCTACAAAATCGACAAAAACGGTATGCCACTAGCAATCCTAATGGTAAGGGATGGAAATGGGCTTGGTAGAGTTGTTGGGATTGCGTATGTTGCCAATGAAGAGAAAGTGACAATTGCCTCAATCTTACAAGCCTTTAAAGATTCCATTGGAGAAGAAATTGCCAGTCAAGTGAAAACTTTTATCATAGACAAGGACATGTCAGAGGCTGGTGCCATCAAAGAAGTTTTTCCAAATTCATCAATTCAGCTGTGTGATTTTCATGTCTCCAAAACGTTCAATAGTGCAGCTGGAAAAGAGCACAAGAAAGTGAGAGATATTCTGGAAGATTTACGATTTTGTTTGGAGGAGGAAAACTTTGAAAGTCTGTGCAACGAACTAATAGAGGTAGCCTCTGATAATTTCTATGCCTACTTCGACAAAAATTGGCGCAAGTGCCCACTTGCTTGGTCTTTCAGACAAAAAAAGACTTCTCCTAATTTAGGTAACAATACCAACAACATTTTGGAGAATTTCAATGGCAAAGTGAAAATGGTAACTGATTTGGCCTTTGTGACTACTATAATACATGAAAGGATTGCAGTTCAACCTTTAACTTGGATGTTTTCAGGTTATCAATAGTTATTTCACATTGCGTGAATCCCTCGAGATGCTGTTAAAACTAGTAAAAAACCGAGAGGAGAACACTCGGTTCACAAACAACATATCTTATGTGAAACATAAGTACATAACAAACAATGCTGACACTATCATAGGGGCAGTTATAAATGACTTGACAAAGTTTGCGGCAGACCTGATAAGGTTTGAGCATGAGGTAGCGAGGCACTGCCGTGTTAGGGAAATCACATCTGAAAAGCAGTGTGATTGTCCTCATTTTTTCAACTATTTGGGTCTGCCCTGCCGGCACATCATCTGCTTCAGAATGGAAAAAGGTAATGTTTCTATTGTTATATTTTAGAAAAAGTTCATCAAATGAATGTAATTTGATTAGAACTTGTCAGGGGTGGGTAATACCTAGGTAGTACAGTACCTAGGTAGTACCTAGGTACTTTTTTCGCTACCTTACCTTACCTACTTACTGAAGATTCGATTCTACCTTACCGATACCAAGGTACTTTTTGGAATACCTATACCGTCGTTTTGTAGGTACTTTCCAAGGTACTTTAAAACCCATATTCACGAGATGAGAGGGTCAAGTAAGCGTCACTACCAAACTATATTTTTTGGGAGGGCTTTGTTTTGGCACCACAGTGTTGTGGAGAGAGCAAGGCGGGAGTAAAAGTATGGAGAATTCGTTCCGGCTGGCCCCGGTCAACCTCCTTCCCCGAATAGACAAAGGAGGATCCCCCTCCCCACCCACCTCCCGGCTGCAGGCCACATGTTTGGGACCGCGACAGGTCCATTACGCACAAAAGGCGAACGCAATGTGCAGCTCCTGATGTGTCCTTGACCGTGGATTTCTTACTGGCGGATAGGGAAACGGGTGATGAACTCGCTCACATGCTATGCGAGAGAGACAGAGCAGAGAAACAACAAACTACTCCCAAAAAAGTTATTGTAAAGTGACTCGCTACAATATGCTTGGTATTAGTGAGTGGGAACGTAAAATACTAGGTACATTGCGCGAAATCGTCAGAACTGTGACGTACCCAAAAATATGAAAAGTACCTAAAAGTACCTAAAAAGTACCTAGGTACCGGACGGAAGTACCTAATACCTACCTAGGTAGTGAGCTCCGTAAACTACCTAATACCTACCTAGGTAGTCATTTTACAATGCTACCGCTACCTTACCTAGGTACTGAAGATGGACTACCTTACCCACCCCTGGAACTTGTTGCTGACTTTCATTTCAAACTGAACAGGCTTGTGTTGGTATGACCCTGATAAGATTCACCCTCGATGGAAAGTCCAACATCCGTCTTCCAATAACAGAACTGCCAGCAATGGAAATGAAGTAAGGATCAACACCAAGACAATACCAGCAAAGACCATCCCTGGGACCACAAGCCAAAAGTATTCAAAGGCAATGTTGCTGTGCAGGAAAATTTGTGAAGTGTTGAGCAGTTCCTCTGGGAAAGAACAATTTGATGTTCGTTATAAAGTACTGGCTGATTCGCTGTAGCATTGGTGTAACGGGGAAGAAGTTACCGTTTCAATTGGTACTGAAAACCAGCAGGAAGAAATGGCGCTCACAGAGGCAAACCAAATTGTAACTGAAGTTCCAGCAGATATGGACTTTAGTTCAATCAAAGGTATATATGCAGCTCTATTTTCTCTCAACTTTTAAAGAATAACATTCTCCCTAAGTGCCAATAATTAATACCTAATGTATTTTTTTCTCCTTTAAAAAATGTTTTCTACTTAATTAATCAGAATGCGCTGCATGTTCAAATGGCCATGAAGCTTCCGGCGCACACTGCTGCGTCAGGTGTGATAAGGCAGTTCACCTTTTCCCGGAATGTTCTTTGCCCGAGCCAGGTGAAGGCTCTTCTGAAGGTTATAGAGAAAGGCGTCTTTGTATTCAGTGTTCACGTGGTAGGCAAATTTCACTTGTGTCCTTGTCATCCATATCTTTTAATGTTCTACAATAGTAAAGTTATTTATTTCCAGGTTTTGAGAATGTGTCTCAGAACACAGCAATACCTCGAATGGATGTCAGTAAAGTGGGTATGTATAGAAAATTTCAATTCACTTCTTTCTTATTTTCCCTGTATCGCCTCAAACGGTCAGACACTTTTCTATCAGATTGATTTTTTTCTAAGCTTTGAGAAATGCTGATCGGAAAGAATTAAAAGAAGCTTTAGGCACAATGGTAATTCCTCCATCAATAAAGCACAAAGGTAGACGTAAGGGTCTCTCTAAAACCAATGATGGTAGCTGGTGTTCAGGAAAAGTGACTACAAAAACAATAGATAAGCAGCCACGTAAGAATTATCTTTCTGTTTTCAGGTTCAAGTCTTGATGAAGCCAGGGTAAAAATGCGTTCAAATAATTATTTTCACCTAATTTGCACGACGCGTTCGCATAAGGTTTTAGGATAATCGTACACGCATCGTGCAAATACAGAAATATCTTCAAAATGCACGCTGCGGTCGCATAATTTTTCTAGGACCGATTGCACGCTGCGTGTTATCTACCCCTAAATAGCTGTGCGCACGCGGAATTTTCTTCAGACTTGTTGTTTGTTGTGGTCGAATAATGATCCGGTATTTGTTGTAATAACTGCAATTCAAAGTGTCATCGATTGAAAATCATGGAGGAAGCGCCGGCTGCCGGTGTCGCATTGAACGCGTTAATCGCTCTTGCCATCCAACTAATGGAACAGGATGAAGCAGACATGCAAGAACTCATGTTAGCTGCAGCACAACTTATGGTTAACGAAATAATGGACATTGAGGAAGATGGCATTCAAGGTCTTAGAGCAAGTTTGAAATGAGTGTAAATTACCTCACTATTAGGTGAACGAAAAATTGATAATGCTTTTCTTTTGCAGAGGCCTATTCGATACCCATCACTGTAGACATCAATGAATTTCACCAATTCAGTAATCAGTGCTTCAAAATGCACTTTAGAATGTCTCGAGTTGTCTTTGAGGTTTGAATTAATTTTGTCTTGGGTAAAAGTATGGGATTCTAAATTGAGTATACATGTATACTATATTTACTATATCTATTTATAACTTAGTGTACTGTATTATGTTGCAGGCTCTTGTGTTAGCTGTAGGTAACAACCTTGTGCAACGGGATAAATTGAAGCGAGAACGAACACCACTCCAGGACATAATTCTAATGGTTGTCTGGCTGATGGCAACACCAGACTCATTTAGAAGTGTAGTCTTGAAATTCGGAGTTTGCCCAAGTACTCTTTATTTGTTTTATATTCATGTCATTGAGGCACTTTAGGCACATGTCTCATGAGTATATAACATGGCGAGATGCAGAAGAGAGGCAAAGAATTAAGGGAGTCTTTGAGAGAGTTTCTGGCTTCCCGGGTATTGTTGGATGTGTGGATGGATCTCACATTTATATCACAGCACCAGTAGAAGATGCTGTGCACTACCGCAACAGGTACCAATCCTATAGTATGAATGTACAAGCAGTTGTGGACAACAACCTCCTAGTCCGTCACCTGCACGTAGGGGAAGTTGGGAGTATGCATGATTGGAGGGTTTTCCGGAAGGGAAGTGCTTATAGACACGCATCGTGTAAATAGTACAAATAACAAAATGTGCACGCTGCGTGCGGACAACAGCAAAAATACTATGCGCACGCGGATTACAAAAACCGCGTGCGCATACCAAAAAGCGCTAGACTAACACGACGCGTGCGAAAAATAGCAGAGTCGTTATGCGCACGCTGGAAATTCATGGGCCCAGCGGGGGCAAGCACTTTATATAGGGTACAGAACGCGCTGTCTGTCAGCCGTGTTCGCTGGACGAGTGGACAAGGGCGTGCACGCCTTTTTTTAGAGTTCCAGGTTCAAGTCTTGATGAAGCCAGGGTAAAAATGCGTTCAAATAATTATTTTCACCTAATTTGCACGACGCGTTCGCATAAGGTTTTAGGATAATCGTACACGCATCGTGCAAATACAGAAATATCTTCAAAATGCACGCTGCGGTCGCATAATTTTTCTAGGACCGATTGCACGCTGCGTGTTATCTACCCCTAAATAGCTGTGCGCACGCGGAATTTTCTTGTAAGCGTGCGCATAGTGGAACGAAGAGAACAGACACGATGCGTGCGGACTACGGCACAATCGTTATGCGCACGCGGGGAATTCAGGACTCCGGGATGTGTGAATATTTGATAGTTAACGATCAGTGGATCCTCATGGCTGCCCCAGTGCGCCAACCGCATTAAATGCGCTCAATGCGCATTGAAATGCACATTAAAGGTCACACCTTGGTGACGCATTAAATGCGCATTACAGCATTTAATGCGCATTTAGTGCGCATTACGCGCACTTAATGCGTCACCAATGTGTGACCTTTAATGTGCATTTCAATGCGCATTGAAGCGCATTAATGCAGTGGCGCTTCTGGGGTGTATTTTTGGATCTATCGCTTCGACTTTTGGACCGAATGTGGTCTATGGGCTACCATGCCCTTAGTGGTTCACGTGTACGATTATCCTAAAACCTTATGCGAACGCGTCGTGCAAGTTAGGTGAAAATAATTATTTGAACGCATTTTTACTCTAGCTTCATCAAGACTTGAACCTGAAACTCAAAAATAGACGCGCACGCCCTTGTCCACTCGTCCAGCAAACACGCTGACAGACAGCGCGTTCTGTACCCTATAAAGTGCTTGCCCCCGCTGGGTCCATGAATTTCCATCGTGCGCATAACGATTGTGCCGTAGTCCGCACGCATCGTGTATGTTCTCTTCGTTCCACTATGCGCACGCTTACAAGAAAATTCCGCGTGCGCATAGCTATTTAGGGGTAGATAACACGCAGCGTGCAATCGGTCCTAGAAAACTTATGCGCACGCGTTTCTGTGCACAAAATTCCGCGTGCGCACAACACAAATTGTTATTTTTGCACGCATTCCGCGTGCACATAAGTTTTTCTTGGCTTAATGTACACGCAGCGTGTACATAATATCGGTCTTGGTTATTACCGAAATTAACTGTCTTGTATCGCTGCTGGCTTATCTAACCACAGAGTGCACGAGCCGGAAAGACGCTCGCTCAACCTGTGACGTAACCTGTGCGCTTGATGCCTGCTGGGCTGCCTACAGGCCCGGCGCAGAGAGGGCAACAGCCACAGACCGACAAAGGTGGATTGAACTTGTACTACTTGTTCGTCACAGTAGTGATATACTTTGAAAACAATCTTTGTGCAGAAATTGTCTTATTATATTTCCAGTTAGTTAAAAATAGGAAAGGAGAGAGAGCATCGAACTCTTCACCATGTTTAAGGAAAGAAAACTTGCGGAAGATGTCGATGGACGCTGGCCGGCTGTTGGCTGAGCAATGGTAAACTCAAAACTATTTCAAAGTTATCGAAAAGACAGATCGATTATGATCAGAAACAAATTGTTTCAGTATTGTATTTGAAAGGGTGCACCATTTGATATATATAGAGTTCGGTCTGCCCCTTCCCCTTTTCTCAGCCAAACCAACTGCGCCAATTATTGGAGCATCGGTCTGGTACTGACTGAGTAGAAAGAAGACACAGGAGGTACAGTACTTTAATCAATGGATGCATTAAAAAAACGTTGAAGTTCCCTGAACTTCAAAATAAATGTCGAAGCTCCCCAAAGTTTAAACTACATCACAGAGGTTCACTGACGTTTAAATTCAACCGCCACAGTTCAAAACAACTACCAAAATGTATTTCAGATTTTATTTAAAAACCACAAGCTGCTATGGTCGCAAAACATATAGCAGAGATAGCAAAAACTTTTGCTGAAACAGCAAAAACCTTTGTTCAGCGAAAACAAAAATATGTTTTGATAGAACATCAAAACGTGGACCCCTGTCTTTTGCTAATTTAGCGGACGGGCTTTTTTGCGCGGTGGAAGAGTTTACGCTGGCTGTTCCCTGTGCAGTACATTTACTCGGACGACCACATCGAAGAGATCAACGACCGCCTGGCCGCACTTGGCCGAATGCCTCTGCTAGGTGCACGCTCGCGGTGACTTTGACCCCCAAAGCGACGTCGGCCGCTTCGAGGGCATCGATGCCCTATTTGAGGGCGCAACCAAGGAGAAGCTCACGAAGCCCATCGTCGCTTGCCTCACGAGGAGAACCGTTAAGTCCACCACTGTCTGGAGTGCTGAGGCATGCCGTATTAAGTCACTCGCTGGAGACCTCACGTCTGCGTAAAGTCGTTTCAGAACAAAACGTATCCTCCTAGCCCACCTTTTCTCCACGGCTTTTTCCATACAATGTACATCCTACATATTCATGATAAAAACTGGAACAGGTGTCAAGGTACCAATAAATTGTAGAATGATCGCTGGTTATAAAGTAGTGGAAAAGTAGGAAAGGAAATTTTCGTATTATATCACTACTAAATTGTAATCACCAAGAGAAGCAGCACGAGCTGCTAATCTAAACCCAAAAAACTTGCCCACTTAACAGGTACCTGCAGGTTCCGTAGGGACCTCTTCCTCTAGCTTGTGTAGTCGTTTAATTGCGAATTTCGGTGCGGGCGTATTCACCAACGATCCGGGAACAAGATTACGTCCCACACTGATACTGGCCTCCTCAATGCTAGTTGACCATTACGCAGGTTTAGGGGAACAAAAAAGAGCGCTGTGATCGCGTTCTGACTGATTTCAAAAACGAATGCCGCAGCAGACAAAGCGAGGCCAGCGAAAAGGATAAAGAAAGCGTCCCACTCAACACGTGCACTCATCGATGAAGTGTTGTTAAGGCGTACTTTGCCCTGTGCCATTTCCCACCTAAGAAAACATAAAAAGCACATCATTATCACAACGTTCCTTTCGGCCATTCCAAAAAAAATAAAAAATCAAAAAAATCGATGCAACACGTTAGATTATTACTTGTGTCTTGGACTGGCACTTGCAAGTGTTTGATTAGCGCTCACATCTGTTTCTACGGGGAGCCAAAAGTAATATTTTGTACTAATTTGTACTAATTTGTGGACAAACATTTACTCTAACATCAAGAGTGGACGCGCTATGGCCAGAGATGCTCATGCTTACCAGTCCTGTTTGATCCAGTGGCCCAGGATGCCGCTGCTGTGCAGACGCAGTATGACTTTGTCAAGCATAGGTAGCAGGGGATATGCCTTTCTCGCGTAGAAGACCGTCTGCTGAGGTGGTAGGGTGCTGGAGAGCCTGTGGGTGCAAGGCGGCAGACACTGTAGGGATAAGGATTTTGTTGGTATGAGAAAAGTAACTCTAGTATACAATTATTAATGCAAACCCCGCTCCCGCTCCAAACCCAGCTGAAAAAAACCGTGTGCAAATCCACGTGGATATTTCGTTTTCGACGTGGTTCCACCTGGATTCTACATATTCCCACGTGTTCCCACGTGTATTGACATGGGTTTTGAATCTTTCCACGTGTCAATCCTCATTTCCATGTGGGTTCAGTAAAAGTCCACGTGGATTTTGTATTTCCTACGTGTATTACCGAATCTCCATGTGGGTTCGGTTATTTTCCACGCGGAGTTTCTACATTCCACGTGGGGTTTGTCCCTACCACGTGGGGTTTCTATACACCACGTGTGTTTCTTTTATTTCCACATGGGGGTTTGTTTTACCCACGTGGGTTTTCTATAGCCAACCGTAACTTTAAATTGGGGTGGCCTACAAATATATTGCCTACACTCATAGAAAAGATAGGTTGCATAGTACACGGCCATGTGATAAAAACTAGAGTTTTTATTTTTAATTGTGCTGCTATCCTCTAAACTAATGGCCGTATTGAAAATCTGAGTCCATATTCGGCGTTTTAAGCCAAATTTTTACTTGGGGAAGTTGCTGTAATTCAGGTCTTATGACACACTTGGGACTCGGGACTCTTGTCTTTGGATCTCCACATGGGTGTGGGGAACCCTCGGGGGAACCACATGGTACTCGAGAACCGCACGTGGAATTTCTGAAAATAACCATGTGGGTTTTTACAAAAACCATGTGGGTTTTACAAAAACCCACATGAAAAGTAACCAATTACCTCATGGAAAATTTACCACGTGGGAATCTTATAAGAACCCCACGTGGAAAGTCTTCGGAAACCCAGGTGGATTTGTGCGTGGATTTTTCGGCTGGGAATTCAACCTGTTGGCTTGGCAAAATTACAATACGATGGTTGTGTACAGAAATGTAACAGTTAGCGCGTGGCACTAAAGAAACTGATGACCCTGATGGACAGGGGGACACTGAGGGATTGTCCTTCACCGATCCCAAGAAGTCCCTCCAGATTTTGTAGTCCCTCTGCTCCTTAGACAATCCTTGTGATAATCCTGGCGAAATTCTGTGATATTTATGATATCTGAAGTCCCTGGGTTTTCACCGCCTTGCCTGTATTCAGAGTCTACCGCAAACCACATCCCTGGAGGATCCTAGGGAATTTCTCCCTCAAAATACCCGGAGATTATTCTCACTGGTAGATCCCTGAAAATACCTGAGTGGTCCCTATTAAATCCTCACCTAACATCTCCAGGTATTTGCGGAAATTAACAGTAGACATCCCTCAAAAACCTCCCTCAGCAGTCCCTACAGAATTTCGCTAACTGATTTTCTATGGGCCCGCGGAAAACATTCTAGAATCCTATCCCTGTAGATCCTTCATTACATCCCTGAGGATTACCGGGAATATCCGGAGGCATCATCCCACATCAGTCCCTGCAGAATCCCCAGCTAAAACGCTATTACCCTCACCCCCTCGAGTATGGGCGGTGCGAAACGCACTTTACTTGTCAAGATGTCTTTTAAGTATATCACTTTCACACATTCATAGATGTTGATCGCTGGCGGGTGCCTCAGAAGAAGACTCGCATTTCAAATTGAAATTCCGTTTTACAAGTTATGGAAAAATAAACTTAAAACAAAATTGTAATCATGTGTAATAATTGGTTATTTTGTAGAGACGAAACTCTGATTAAAAGGGAAAGTGGGGTGTGGGAGGGAAAGGAAGGAGGAAGAGACCAAGTGCGACCAGTGCCTGTCCACTCGGATGGCCAGCCGACAGGGAGCGCTGGCGGGAAGCTGCGGGCCAGGTGCATCCTGGCTCACTCTCACTCACTCTGTCAAATGGTAAAACGGGGCTGACATGGCAACTGTATTGATGTAGGACCGATCGTCTCTGCGATCCCATGTGCAAGGGAAAAGCTCGGGAATTCTCTGTCGATTTAAAAAAAAGGAGAAGTTCAAGTTCATTCCACCAGAGTGGATTTCAATAATGATAAGTAAGTCAGCGTAGTCAATCACGTTTGATTTTTTACCTGAGTGATTTCACTTTTTCTCAAACTGGTCTTGTTACTGTTACAGGAATAATGCTCCACTGCTCGTGGACTTACAACTGCGACAAGTGCGATTTCGACTCAGTGAGGGCAAGGCTCATCAAACATACTTCAAAAAGAAGGAATGAATTGAAGTCGCATATTTTGAACAGCCTGACTGATGAAGAGAAGGTGGTGCACAAGGAAATGGTGAAGAGCAGCAAGAAGGGCAGTGGAGAGGGTGAGAGTGATTTGGAATACTCAGTTGCTGGTACAAATACAATAGTTGTCAGCAGTTCAGATTCAGAGGACAGTTCAGGTTCAGAGGACGTTGATGAGGAAGAGAAGGATGAAGAAAAGGATGAAGAGAAGGAAGAATACAACATATGTCCTCCTTGTTTTACGTAGGGCCCCGTGCGTTAACATTATGCACGGGGTAGCTGAGCGAAGTGCATTAGAAGACGTAACAAATATAGAACAAAACTATAATGAATGAGGGTCCGCCTAGTAGGTAGGCAACCGATTCTGCTCCTTGAACGTAAGAGATGGCGGGAGGGACCAGCCGGACCTTAAACCGCGGCCTGGTCTGGTTGGGTCGCTGTATTCAACTGGAGTTCAAATCCTTTGCACCTCTTTCTCTACAACAGGTACTTTTAGTGAGTAGTGAACTTGATTAATTACTATGCAGTATAATAGATTTGGAAGTCCACTAGAAAAGCTTGATACTGGGAAGCCTGGTTTCTATTCATCAAAATACATTGTTGATTTGTTTTGTAAACACACAACTGTAACATCGGCTGGATAAAGAGGGGGGGGGGGCTTCAATTTATGCGTTCCTGAAGTTCACATACAGAACATGTCTGCTACTGTCCCTTCCTATCCCCACTGCCCTCCCCCTACTCAATTTACCCTTTTCTGTAATGCCACATGATGCTTGATGCTCCCATTTCATTCAATTCATTTTATTTGTGAAAGTTGAAATTCTATTGGGTTGCCTCTGGTTGAAGTGAAATAAAATACCCTAATATTTATCATAATTTCAAAATACATTTAAACTTCTCACCTACGATAAGTATAACTTGTCGCTCTTTTCTTCATTTTTATCAGACCTCTCCGAAGCATTTGAAGGATCACGACTCGCTAAAGTATATTTAATTTAAGTTCTACAATGTATCGTATCATAGAGTTTAATTTAAATGCTCCCACCATTTTATTGGATATCATTAAACATAATGTGACTCCAGACAAAGCTAGTCAATTTAAGAAAGTGATATACCTTGTTCTGATTTTGATGGGCCTATCCAACCTGAGTTAACGATATTGGCTAAAATATTTGAACATTTGAACATAACACTGCTATTTCGATTCCGATCGTCTTGGAGCATAAAACTTTTTCGTTTTCTTTTGTCAAGATGAACTCGAAACAATAGTTGCCTTTTTACATTTCTCCCGAACCACTACCCCCTTCCCCCCTCCAACTTACGTAAGTAAACACGTAAACCATTCAAAATATCACTTTCGTTTCTTCTCACAGGACACTCACGAAACTTTGTAGGTCCAGTTCCGCAACTCTAAAACTAAAAATTTCACACTCGGTTTGACCATCTGACATTATGATCGCGTGTGAGAAAATCAGAAAGTCTCGAAGTGGGTGCAAGGAGCCATTTGCGTGTTCGCGCTCTTTTCCACTCAGTGTAGCCACCACCGAAACAACAACATCTGAAGCTCCCCCCGGTGAAAAGAGGACCAAATATTTCAAATTACTCACTAAAAAGTTGCTGTCCGATTTTCACTCCAAGCAGTGTGAAATTCACACTGAGCAAGTGCGAAGGTCCCAAATCGCACCATATGGTGCGGAAAGTGCACATTCGCACTTGTACGTGCGAAAGTTGACCATTAAGTGCGAGCCCGGTGAGTGGTCGCACCCCTGGGTGCGAAAAGTTTTCGCTCGCACTAAGTGCGAAAACTTCTCGCTCCTGATTGGTCCATTTAGCCACGCATTTTGACTGTCATCGAAAACTTCATTACGATGACTTTTTAAAGCAAAAATAACGCAGAAACAAAGTTTCTGATTTTTCTTCATTTTTTTCCGATTTTTTCCCGACGATTTGGCAGAGATCCTGATTATGACTGATTTTGCTCGATTTTGTCCGATTTTGCTCGATTTTGCCCGATTCTGGCCGATTTTCGCCAATTCTCTCCAAAATCGTCGGGAAAAAATCGGAAAAAATCGGAAAAAATCGGAAAAAATCGGAAAAAATAAAGAAAATTCAGAAACAATTGAAACCGTAGCCAGGACCTTGGCCATGTGGGCTACTGCCCCTTCCTATCCCCCCCCCCCTTTCTAGTTATGTCATGTAACACTTACATTTCATTCTAACCAAATGCACTTATTTGTCTCTGGTTAAAGTAAAAGTATATAGAATATGTTTTTAATATTAAAATACATTAAAACTACTCTCTTA